GCTGAAAATTAATATAAAAACTGTTTATGATACAATGGTTCAAATAAGTTGAATGAGTTCTTGTCAGAATTAGGCGAAAAAGAAGTGAAACCTTTCTTTTCACAAGTTCCCAAACAATCAAATTGTAAGAAAACAATAGTTACGTGCTCTCATCCCGAATGAAGACGATTTAAGTTGGGACAGAGATTTGAGGGGTTCGTGAAATAACGATTTTTATATCAAATACAATAATAATGTACAATTAAAGGTTTGCTGCAAACATTTTTGCTGCGGTGGGTTTTCTTTCTAATTAATGTTAATACGTATTTTGTCATATTTACGTTTAAAAATAAACAAAAACAGAAACATAACCGAAATTGCACAATTTGACAAGTGGAACCAATCAGGAGTCATTTCACACAGGTATCGCGCGTCATTATATGTCTTTTTCTTTATTGCAGAAATCTTAATAAACTATCCTTGCTGTTCATTGCGTGAGAAAGGTCCATTCATAATAGGGGGTGTCTATATTTCGCCAAGTATGCATGAAATTTACTATAACACACATTGCGAGGCAGTAGAGAGTATTTTCCGAAACTATGAATTTCAGAAGATCTATATTTTCGGTGATTACAATCTCATAGAGGCTTTCTGGTCCAATGACGAATGTGGAGTGCAGGTTGAATGTCCAGCATCTTCATCGGCATTGCATGTTGCTCAGTCTTTTGGATACTTACAGCTTTTCGAAAAGATAACTATACCTAATAAGAGAGACATATTTTTGGATCTTGCCTCAGTAGCGTGTCAAATTTTTTTGGGGCCCCCCCGCGAACTTTTTTTTGGGGCCCTCTATGTCACTATTATATTTTCCAAAAATAACCCATTATAGTAAATATTTATACACAATATCATTATCTAATAGTTAAAAAACACAGCGAATTTTTGAAACTAAATTTATTTCTATAAATTATTATATGTTATTATAATATAGGAGGGATGATTGAAAAGTTCTAAAAAAAATGTTCTTCTAATACAAGAAAAACATACAACAAATATTTAACTAATAAGTACAAAGATATGGAATTAAATATGCATTATTTTTTAAAAACTACTTATAAAATATCCTAAACCTATGGGAATCACTGACGTTTCGACCAGCCAGGGTTGACAATTGTTTGGGCGTTCACATTTTTTTCGATCGCAAGAAATGGTGACAAATTAAATATGGATTTGAAATGTTTAAATGTGCATATTTGTATTTTTGGAGTTTGTTTGATATACATAGGTATTACTTTTTCTTAAAGTATATTGGGGGCCCGGGGGCCCCCAATATACCGGGGGCCCCCCCGCGTGGAGGGGTCTGCGGGGCCGTTTGACACGCGCCTGTCTTGCCTTTACAAATGATGAAAGTGTAAATATAACTATAGCTAGTGACCCAATTTTTGATGATAGTTTGCATCATCTTAGTTACGAATCTGTTATAAGAATCCTGGATGGAAGACAGATGAACGATAGTCTACATTATGAGGACTTCTACTATGACTTTAAAAATGCGAATATTTTGGGTTTAAACAATTTTTCGGGTGGTGTTAACTGGGAACAGTGCATGCAAAATTTAGATATTAATTTAGCTTTAGAAACCTTTTATGAGACTTTAGGTATAGGTATCGTCTATTTTGTACCTGTCAGGAAGTACAAGTTTGGTTCTTTTCCTAAATGGTTCTCACCAGAGTAGAAATATCTCACGATTCAAAAGAGAAACATACATAGAACCTATGTGGAGTCTAAGTCTGCTTTGAACTATGCTGTAAACGGTGTGGTAACATCTGCTGGTCTCAGTACATGTCAAAAGTGGATACTGAATTTTATGTATATAAGAGATTTGAAGTCAAATAATGGCCTTACCCAAATTATGAATTTGGGAAAGAATAGAGCTGACAATGGTCAAGATATTGTTGCATTATTTAAAAAATACTTTGAGACTGTTTGGAACTCCGTTGAATATTTCGGAGAATTTCAGGCTTGCACACATTTTTAGAGAGGACATTTATAATAAGATAGCTCGCTTACCAAACAAAGATACGCTGGATCCTGATGGGATTCCAGATAGTTTATTGAAGCAGTGCATTTGCACTTTAGTGATTCCTTTACACTTATTATTTAACAAATCACAATATCCACAACTTTTCCAGAGACATGGAAGCATTGTTTTATAGTACCGATTTTTGAAAGTGGAGATAGGAGTAATGTAGCCAACTATAGAAGTGTGTGCATTCAGTCATCCATTCCTAAATTATTTGATAGCTTTAGTGAGTGACCAGCTAAAGTGGCTAAGCCGAGGCCTAATCAACCAAAGTCAACACGGTTTTTGTGCAGGGCGGTCAACTGTGATAAATTTGTTGAGTTACCAAAACAAAATAATCAATGCCTTGGAGGATTTCAAACAAGTTGATGCCACTGTATTTTTCTTAAAAGTCTTTTTGATATGGGGTTCGGCGCAGATGCAGTAGACTGGATCAAAAGTTTTTTTAACAGGACATCATCAATCAGTAAAAGTAGGTTCTTTTCAGTCTGGCACAATCACTGTTACTTCAGGAATGCCGCAAGGGGGACACTGTTCACCCTCATTTTTTGTCTCATTTGTCAATTCTATCTTCGATTGTTTTCAAAATAGTGTTGGAGTAGCTTTTGCTGATGATTTGAAAGTTCTATAAAAGGGCTATAAATGATATGGAGCACCAACAATTGTTACAGGACGATTTGGATAGATTGACAAATTGGTGTTCAGTTCATAAATTAAACTTAAACTTATCAAATGTTGCCAGATAAGTTTTTTAAAGGTAAAAAAACACTTCATACTCTTTGAGAGGGGAAGCTTTAAGTTATGTTTCTAAAATAAGGGATCTGGGAGTGATTTTTGATGAAGGTCTCACTTTTCTTGAACATATCAATACAATATCAGTAAAATCATCAAAAGTACTGGGCCTTGTTTTGAGAAACTGTGGGTGCTTCTCTGTTGACACTATTAGAGGAATTTATCGCTCATTAATAAGGTCAACGCTAGAGTATGCCTCAATAGTGTGGTCTTCATATCAGGATACTCACCAATATGCGGTGGAAAATGTTCAGCACAGGTTCTTACCTTATTGCGCGTTTGAATTAAGGGTTGCAATTCAGGACCATAATTATAGTTATTTAGAGAAACAGCTTAATTTGTATACTCTGAGGGATAGATGAACCTTTTCTGGTTTGATATTTGTTTATAGATTGGTTAATGGGAGAATTGATTTCTCCGATTTGTTGCAATGTATAAATATTAAAATAGCTACAAGAAATAGAAAGCAAGAATTCTCTTCCTTCTACATCCCATTTCATAGAACAAACTATGGCTTTAATTCCCCAGTTGATGGGTACCGTACTCATAAATTTTCACTATCTGGAAATATTTGATATCTCTCTATGCAGATTCAAGAAGAGCTTGAATAGGTTGAAAGTTAAAATTAAATTTCAAGATTAATCAAGTATATATTGAGTATTCTTGTAGGCAATAATAAATAAATAAATAAATAAATAATGACTTTTATTCAGAACTATGATGCAGCATAGTTAATTTTATTGAATTTCTTATATTAACATTATGTATGGTTTGACGTTCTTTTATGGAACCAGGCGAACAAGGGCTATTTATTGCTTTTAATAAAAAGGTAGAAAAATGAAGAATTCTCCTATCACTCATCCTCAACCAACCAATATCATTATATAAATGGGAAATATGATCAAACTTCCTCAGACCATAGATAAACCTTAGGCACACTTCTGCACTTTTTGTATACGATTCTTGCATTGCTGGTCTAAACAAAAGCAGTAAACATAGTCACAATAAGTAAAATTCCATAGTACGAGAGTTTCACATAGAGTTTTTTTCAGTGATTTATTTAGAATATGTCTATTATTATAAAGGACCTTTAAAGCAAAAAAAGATTTCTGTACTAGTTTCTTTATGTGTTCCTTGAATCTAAGTTGAGTATCTAGAATAACGCCCAAATTTTTTACACTATCGACAAACGAAATTCAGTCTTGCTACCACTACCAAAAATCATTACACTTGACTTATCAGGATTCAGTTTTAAGTTGTGAGCCTCAAAAAATTGGTATAAGTTTTTAAGATCATCATTTATACACTGTTCAATTTCCCTGAAATCATCAGTATTGAAACAAATATAAATTTGTATGTCGTCTGCGAAAGCCTGGACCTTACAAAAGTTTAATGATTTTAATTCAATCTATTTTGCATAACAATTTTGATATTTATTGTAAACTGTAAATGGGGTTATCCAGTAAATAAATAAAATAAAATCAGTCTCGTAGTATATCGAATGAGTTATTGTCAACTCATACATTCAATAATAGTTATTTATGGTACTAATGTGTTATATTGAAAATAAGTTACGCGAGAATATTTATCTATCCATTGTAAACCTCTGTAGTGTAGAATAAATAAAAATATTACAATTATTTCTGACATTCAATTTTTGTTTCTGACTATGAATTCTAAAAATTTAACCAAAACTGTCCAACTTTTGTTTTTACCGGGATCCTTGAATTTGGCCACAAAATTTACCTGTTCCGGAATAAGGAAAAGGGTGACAGTTTTACTTACCAAGTAGTATTAATAGGAGAGGAAGAATACAGTGATAGACTGCGTTAGGTGCTTCGCGCAGGAAAAAAAAATTTGGCATTAAGGCGCATTCAATCCCCTTAGGAACTATAGCTTTTCCTTGTAGTTACTGGAGTTAACCAGCTTTTATTTCTGTGGGCCTGTTCTTAGTTGTAAGGTTAATTCAGTTTTCCTAATTATTTAAGGGTTAATTTTCATGTCAAGTGCCTCCTGATTTCAAGTTTTAATGATTTGTGTGTCAACTCAGACGAAGTTTGCAATATGAAAGTCAAGTTAATAAATCCAATTTGACTGAATATTGTAGCCTGTGATGTGTGATAATTCAACATTTTGTTGCAAATACCTGAAAGTTATTTCTTCTGCAGTCGCACCCGCATTCACAGGTTCAGTTGCAGGCGGATCATTAGGATTCCAGATTCTTTGAGTTGATTTTGCTTGCACCAAATCGAAGTTTTTCAATTGTTGTTGCTGCTGCTGCCTCTGGAGCAACTCCCGCAACTGACGTGCGATTTCTGGTTGATCCGGTCTAGCCTAAAAAGTAACGAATTAAAACTGGGACAAAAATTAATAAAGTAGCAATTATTACCTGCATGGGCGGTCTTGCAGCAACAAATGGACTCCTCGGTGGAGGCGGTTGACCAAACGCCTCATTTCCGGTTGGTACTTTAGAGAAATTGACTTGCGGACTAGTGGGTTCTATAAAGGATTCCTCAGGATTCGGAGTTTGCTGATTTGGTTGCTGGAACTCGTGAACCGGAGACTGTGAAGAGGTAGGAGTACGAATATTAGTGGAAGGAGGTGAAGGATGGGCAAATGGTGGCGATTTTATACCGATAAATTGTCTGGGTGATGGAGGAGCCACAGGACTGCCTTCTTGCGATGTTGTGGTAACTTGTAGGGGACTCGTTTGGTTGGTGGGGATAAATTGAGGATTAGGGTCTGACATTGTCCGTTGGACTCTTGCAATTGCTGAAATGAAGAACAAAATATCAATAAAATCAGGAATACAATAAAAGATTAATTTGTACCTTGAACTCTTTGTTCTTGAATAACATGCGCTTGTTGCTGAGCTTGTTGCTGTCTCATGGCTTGTAAATGTTTCCATTGTCTTTCTTGCTCAGCCTCTCGGGCTGTTCTCTGTTGTTGGGCTAATTTTTCTTGGTCCTACGATAGCGTTAATTGTTATTTGAAGCACTTCTCAAAAATTTAATATAGTCTATTGTCCACCACCAAGATTAGATAAGCATCAATGATTATTTATTTAATGTTTAGTATTAATTTATGTACCATGCTTGAAGGCCCTGCACAAAACTCCTTAAAAATGGTTTTAGATTTGACATCTTACTTTCGACAATTTAATATCACTTGACTGATTTGCTTACATTGAGCCAGATACTTTCATCAGATTAAAAAGGTTCAATATTCTATTTCGGAAGAGCTTGTCTTTAATTGAACTTTGAAGCTGACTTAGCTCAAAGTGATTATTTTCACAAGTAAAATTATCCTGCCATCCATTTCAAAACTCTTCTCAAAATTATTGTGAAACAAAATTTTAATGGTTTCAGAGAAGTAATTGGCTCTATTCTTTCTATTTCCGAGCAGTTTTCACCGATCTATTGCCTGATTAGTTGATAAAATCTTCTTTATAATAAGAATAACAAAATTCACAGGTCTGTTTTTCCAGTGCACTTAGAAAATATATATATTATTATTTGTTCAGGGTCTCAATTTGGAAATTATAAAAGTAAATAGTTTTTAATTGCGAAAATAAATGCAAAGGATCACCAACAGAAATCTATATGAAAAATTAAAATATGTACATGTTATACGAAAAAATGCGGTGACCCTATTTTTTATCAATATTAATATTAGTTATGTTAATGATTTCCCAGTTATTATTATTCGAACTATATTTTATATTATATTAGTGATTAAAAAGGTAAGAAGGTGCTGGTCAAAGCCTCTCTCATTTTTATATATTATTATCAATGCGATTTGCATAAAAGATAATTCTTATTTTCACAAAAAATTAATACGTTTCAAAAATATACCCTGGAAAATAAAAACAGGATTTAAAAGAGGTTTTATAAAACAAAATACTCTATATATAATTCAAACTTAACAGAACACCCCAACATAAATAAAGTAAAAAACAAAAACAGCCATGCAACTAAGTAAAGACAACTGGAAAATCTACAAACACCAATTATTTTCCTCAACCAATGAAAGCTACGATAACAAACCAGTTAGTAACTTGGATAGCAAATAGCTCTGATATCTTTTTTATAGGTGGGAAGGACAAGGATATTTTGTTGGTTTGTGCCTATAATAGTGTTGGAATAATTATTAAAAAACTGGTTTCGTCATTCAAAAACAATAAATTTCAATGACTGCATTAATTTTACGAAATTAAAAAAATAAGTCGCATCACACTGAAAAACAAGCTTTATAAATGAAAAATTAAAAAAATAAATGCTTTTTGGACTCTACTTGATTAAAACAAACTTATATCATGTGTTCAAAATAACATTAAGAAAATGCATATTCATAGAAAAGCTGACACTATCCTCAAACTAATACAGAATTTTATCTACTTTCCCAGTATTCAACCAAAATGCTCATTCGAAGTTAATGATTAGGTTAATATAGTAGAGCTTCTGTATGAGTGAGTTGCAAAAATTATCCAACTTTTATGTACTTTTTAGAATAAAATCTGCGAGAAACATCTGAAATGAAACTGGGCGTTTCTTATATGTACTAGAAAAAATTTTAAATAGAAAAAGCTTGATTTAATCAGCAGGGTCCAAAAAAAAAACTCCATTCATAATACTCAAAAAATTCTCGATAAGAACAAAAAAGATCATTCCACACCAATACGGTTCTCACCAGCAATTGAGGCTCATAGTTTTCCTGACAAAGGGAAGGAAGTGTACGCATAATTTCAGACGGTGTCAGCACCCGGATCTGTTGATCCGAAGCGGACGGTGAGCTACTTTTTTGCTGGATTACGGGATGAGATCGGGACAAAAGGGGTGCGTGATCAGCACAAGGGTTATTAGGTTGATAATTAGGATTAACGGTGACATTAGGGGCAGGACCCACTCTGTCTCCAGGTCCGGCGAAATTACCGTGCACTGTAAACTGATGATGAGTGGGCGGAGAACGAGAGGTCGTAGGAGCTACAGGAGGAGAGGTAGTTGTGGATGTAATAGAGGTAGTAATAATAGACACCGAGCATGTGGAAGCATGGGTTAGTGATTGTTGAGCAGACGATCTCTGCGTAGTGCACACCTCAGTAGTTATCGCGGTAGGACTCTGTTGCGCCTGCGCCTGTGTAACGAGCGAAGGTGGTGGTAACCCCGGTGAAGGCAGATTGGTAACCAAAGCAGCTGCCGGTACTACGGTAGGGGGTGGCTTTGTGGGAGCGACAGGACTCGTTGTGGAGGTTTCCTTGCTGGTCTGTGACTAAACGGGGAAGGTGACAACACATAAATATTTACAGATTGGTTAACAACGCAGTAGTTTATACTGTTTTCAAATGGTTTTCAAGTTTCAATTTTTGTTGCTACAATTCAAAAAAAAAATTAATGCGAGCCCAATCTGTGATGTAAGAGCTCAAGTTTGCGAGTTATATAAAAAAATCACTGTTACTTCCCTAGTAAAATTTTCTAGAATAATATTTCACAAACTAGAAAACCATTCATTATTATCAATCACAATCTATAGTGTATACAAAAAACAGTGGAAGACAAAAAAAAGGGTTAAAATTCCACAATCCCATATTGGTGGGTTCCATAGAGGCTAGCCATGCTGGAAATTTTCGACAACATAAATTGTAGCTGTTTATTATGCTTTGAGGGTTAGTAACAATAATTGCGTCACCAGTTCAGGCTCAGGTTTGAGCATGCTTATGTAAAAGATCGTATATATCAATAAAGATCAAGTGAAAAACGGTCTCAACTTATTTTTTGGAGATCATATCAAAAAATTACCTACAAAATGTTTATTAATGAATGTTCAAAAATGTACAAAATAATTCCTGGTCTCATTTTAACACTAATTTAGACAAGTTCAAGAAATACAGAGTGTCAATAGTTTCAAATACTTACAAAAGATTAAAGATTAAAAAATAAGATATATCAAATAATTTTAGTTACAGGTCACTGTATATTTTATAAAAGACCCTGGTAAATTCTTGATATTGTAAAAATCTGGGGTTGACCTTTATTGATGATAGATTTTTCAACTTGAAAACTAAGTGAGATTGGAAATCTGTCCTATAATGAGCTCAGGAATTAACTGTTGTTTTTTGATCATTTAATAAAGAACACTTTGTCTACCATGGATTTTACTATATGGTAATGACATAAATAGCTGAAGTGCCACTAATACAAATTCTGATTTACTTTGATTAGTCGTATCTCAAAGTTTGCAAGTCGTGTTTTATTTATAGATTCTAACTATAAAAAAAATAGCTTAAAATTTAGTTAGACAAGATAAACATCCAGAAATTTTAGGTCACAATATCATTTGAAATACAGACTGCGAAAAAAAAGTTCCAACTTTGTCCATAAAAATTCGTTGTTTTCATGTGGCAGTTTTTTTTTTTTTTTTGAAAAATGAGTAAACTGGTGACAAAGACAAATTCTTACCTGTTGTTGTTTCTTCATTCGAAGCTGGCTTCGATTGTCGCGAGCTTGTTGAAGATATGGAGCCTTCTCGTCTTGACTCAAAGTTCTCCACTTTTTGATAATATGCTTGTATCTGTTAAGTTAAAAATATAATAATAATAATAATAATAATAATAATAATAAGCCTTTATTTAAAACAAATTTTCCAGCCCAGTTTTCAGCAAAATTTTCAAAACACCACCCAAACTCAGGGACCATTATTGTCATTTCCTAGCCAGCCTATTAACATTCAACCTAGGCAAGTTCAACAAAACTTCCCTACCAATAGGCAAGTTTTCGGAAAACCGAAAGACGTATTTTCTAAGGCAGAAAGAATCCCCTCGTTGCAAACAAGATATTCTCGAAGGCCAATTATGCGCCAAAATTTCAACAACTTCCAATGCAATCCCTTCACTCTCGCAGAGTTAGACCATTTGCAAGAAGACGCTTCTGCATATCTTCCGAACGAAACATCAGGAGATTATTACGCCGAAAATTTATGCCAATTTGAGCCTGAAAACAATGAATATTATAATGCTGAAGAATTCGATAATCCCCAGTCCGAGCCGACAATCAACGTAAACTTTCACGAAGATCCCTCAGAAACCAGTCCGCCCTAAACCTAAATAGTTTTCAATCCAATTCTCTCCCATATATAAAAATTCAAAATCCACCAGCTAAGCTTCTTGTTGATACAGGCAGCCACACTTCTTTAATAAGACCAATTATTGCCGAACAACATTTTCCACATTTATTTTGATCTATAATTCAAAACACACACTAATTAACTGATACTCCAAGGGAATGTGAACTGGTGGCTCCCTACGTTAGAACGCCAATGGTCACCTGACGTCTTACCTGTTTTTGCCATATGCTTCACCCCCTCGCTCCTCATACGGAAAGTGTCAGATTAAAAACGACGGACAATACATGCACTGGACACACACACACAGTACAAAGCAAAAATTTTCTTGCTAGGCGGTTCAAACACAGAACTTGAATTTGTTTTATTTAATTTCCATGACTACTATTGGCATATGAGATCTACATAAATTAAATCTAAATATAAATCTAACAAACAGAGGACTTTTCAATGATTCAACAGAAATTCCTTTAGCCTATCGTGAAGATTTTAGTATACAGAAAATTGAAATTCCACCGTTGACTATTGTTATAAAGTATGTACATTAATACTAATATTCCTGACGAAATAGAAATTTTTATGCCACACTTTCATCGCGATATAATAGAGATTCCGTCCTCGCTTTTATTAGTACGAAATTGTACAGTTCCACTAGAAATTCGAAACCTGAGTAATGAAAGTGTTACGAAGAGAAAGCTAAAGTTTTTAATTCAGAAGTCTTTGAACTTTTCAAAATAGAGCAAATTCATGCCAAACCCTCTGCACCTAGTAATTCCGATAATTGTGATTTTTCTCTAATTAGATCAGACCACCTATATTCAGAAGAATATATTGCAATTCAGCGACATCCTCTATAAGCTCGAACAAAAACTAATCTTTATTCACCAAGCCAAACACGAAATAAAAACGGCAATACTCACAAAATCTTACAGATACCCTTTTATTCACAAGAAGTCCAAAAACAAATCACACAAATGTTGAACGACGAAATTATAAGCCCATCTTCTAGCCTTTGGTCTTCTCCTATGTGGATCATCCCAAAGAAGCAAGACGCTTCGAGAAAACAAAAATGGCGAATCGTAATTGACTATCGCAAAATAAATGAGAAAACGGTTGATGATCGTTATCCAATTCCCAACATCTCCGACATACTGTATAGACAAACTTGGCAAAAGTTAATATTTCACAACCCTCGATTTGGTTCAGGGTTCCATCAGATCGAAATGGATCCATATTCTATTCCCAAGACAGCTTTCAATGTCGAAAATGGCCATTTTGAGTATATCAGAATGCCATTTGGTCTAAAAAATGCACCGGCAACCTTCCAAAGGGTCATGGTTAATGTCATCAAAGATCTTCAAGGAAAAATATGTCTCGTTTACATGGACGACATGATAATCTTCTCGACTTCTCTACAAAAACATAATCAAAATAGATTTTGTCCGACTTAGGGAACACAACCTTAAAATTCAACTCAATAAAAACAGTTTAATTTCTAGACCACGCTATAACTTCGGAAGGCATAAAACCCAATCCTAAAAAAGTTGAGGCAATCAAAAAATTTCCTATTCCTAAAACACCCAAAGAAATCAAGTTTTTTTTTAGGTCTCGTAGGGTATTATAGAAAATTCATCAAAGATTTCACAAAGTTGACAAAACCTCTCATACTAATTGTTTTAAAAGGAATAATAAAGTGGAGCATACTTTAAAGTTCTCTCAAAGTTTCGAAACTTATAAAAAAACATTCTAATGAACGATCCCATTCTTCAACATCCCAATTTTTCAAAACAATTTAATCTGACAACAGACGCATCAAACTTTGCTATAGGCGGTGTTTTGTCCCAAGGTTCAATTGGTAAAGATTTACCCATAGTATATGCCCTCGAACTCGTAATCCAGCTGAGCTGAATTATCAGGACTATAGAGAAAAAATTATTGGCCACTGTGTAGGTCACCAAATATTTCAGGCCCTACCTTTTCGGTACCCGATTTAAAATTATGACTGACCATAAACCTCTTCAATGGTTGTTTTCGGTCAAAGAACCAGGCTCCAAACTAGTTATAGACCCTGAGATAGGTAGGGACTGTTTAGTGGAGTCATTTTTTTTTTTTGTCTGGGATTTTGAGGGGTGAATGTGGCTAGTTAGCTGATGATATAAGTGGTTTTAATGCCTGCTGCCTGTTCGAAATGTCCACAGAGCTTTTTGCAGATCTGTCGATTTCGAACTGAAATTACCGCGATTTTTCAGCGTTATTTTCACAACAAAACCTTTTATTCTCTCGATTGCCAGACAGAAAAAAAGTGCGGAAACTGCTATACTTTTCTCTTACAAGTTGACACCCATCCCCACTTTTTTAACCATTGGAAAGCATCTGGCATTTTTTATGTGTAAATTATTTATCAATGTCAATCTTTTATTCAAAAGCCAGACAATTTAAGATCATTGAAGAAAAATGCTTCATGTAAATGAAATTTTTACTTCTCCAAATTTTCAAACGGGTGGCAGGCATTAAAATCACCCATATTCGCATCAGCTAACTAGCCACATTCAGCCCTCAAAATGCCAGACAAAAAAAAATGACTTCACTAAACAGTCCTATCTCAGGGTCTATTGGATGGCGCCTGAAATTGGAAGAATCCGACAGCGAAATTATTTACAAAAAAGGCAAGCAAAACATTAATGCAGACTCCTTTTCACAAATTCAGATTAATCCATTAGAAGACGATCAACTATCAATGATTTCGGAAATTGACCCTAATGACGTACCTCAATTATCTTGCAATAAACTCGACGAAACAAAAACCCAAAATTAAGATTATTTCTTAAAAAATTATGAGAATAGCAAGCAAACAAAAACCCAAGATAATCGAAAAACCTTATCTAGAAACCAAACACTCAAGTGCTGAAGACCCATATGAAAATCCCAATGAAAATATCGTAATCTGATGAACTACGCTATTTTATACATACAACAATACTACCCACAGTGCCCTAAAATACACACTCTTTCAGATCATCAAAGGTGAAGTATATATTACAGAAATCCGTTGGAACTCTCCGAAGACCAAAAATTATCAATAGTAATATAACTAGTGCAATGGAAATTATTGATAATTTTTGGGAAATTTGCCCGAATGCATTTTTAGTCGAAAAAGAGCACGAGTGCACGTAGTGCACGAGTGCCTTTTTCAGTTAAAAACGCATGAGTGCAAATTTGTCGAAAATTATAAATATATTTCCATTGCACGAGTTGTATTTAATGAGAGAATTTCATAAATCAAAAATTTAAATTTTTTGTCAAAAAAATGTCAAAACACCAGTTTTCGCACCAGTTAGTATGCAATAGACCGATCTCCTATTACCTGGAGTGCGTTCAAAGACGGCAATGCTAATGCCAAAACCTACTATTCCCCTTCTACCGGCGATGCCAAATCTAGTGTGAATTTGCCGGAACGCCAAATACCGTTTCTCAATAGGCAATCCAAACCACGTGACATTCAATATGGCGTGGCGATCATACATGGACCAAAAAACACAAAAAATATCTAGTTTCTGCCCGACTCAATAGTTCACATACTTAGTTAACAAATATTTTTTTGAATAATCAAAATCGAAGCTGCAAACAAACAAATATGCATGAAAACACATATTCAAAACTAACTTGCTGGCTGCCACGCCATATTGAATTTGGTCTCATCCAATCAAAATTCGTATAACCATTTCTAGACTCAGTTAAAAGAGCCTCCAAAAGTTACTTTACCGCGGCCGATTTGGAACGTGTAAAGCCAACCGTTTTTGGCACGCTGGAGCCGAACTTGAACGCAATATGCCAATTTTGGCTCGGCTTTAGCCGTTTTCGAACGCAGCCCTGGACTGCGCGCGTCGCTTGTAGGCTGCAGGTGAGCGTCCAATGAGAAGCAAGTTTGGTACAGGTTTGCGTCATATTCTTATTCAGGGGCCAGTTCAGAGTGAATCGTTCCTTCTTTCTTTGTAACGTGTAATTCGACAAAGAGCAAACTAATACTTTACATATTACTTGAACTCACCGCAGTGTCGTTCAAGGTTTTGTCAGATTATACTTGACATATTCCTTTGCAATTTCATTGTGCAATGTTGCCGGATGAAACATTTATAAAAATAAAAGTGTAAACGATGTTAACATAAACTTTTCAAGCGCTTCTTTTGTCTGATTCAAGGCGTTGTAAAACACTTGACACTATATCACTTCTTTAATGTTATAATGTTCGATTTGTATTGTCTTTATTTGTTCTGCAACAATACAATCTGGCTACACTGAACCTACGAGTTGCGCGCGCATGTCATCTTTTATTACTTTCTAACTTGTATTTATTACAATTAGGCTCTCTTTCTCTATTTATGCGAGACAGGTCTATTATCTGATAATTTGCACTAGTGCAAATTATCGCGTTATTACAATCTGATTGATTC